TTTACTGTTGCCCCTCACAGCAAACGTCACCTGTGAGAATTACCTCAGAATACAGAGAAGAGAACGTTTTGGCGGGAACGTTTTGGCGGGAACGTCTTGGCGCTCTTTTCTCTATAAGCAGTGGTGAGACAAAGCCACAGAAGACTGCGTCGGGTGTAGGCCATTCACTTTCAGGGTGAATGCAAACACGATAAAAGCAGATTTTTGTTTGTATGTTTCACCAGAAATATGTACTAAGCTGAAACGCAACTACTTTCATTTTACCACGTAAGGCCTGCTGAGTTACATAGCTCTTTGTCAGAAGCCCCCTGTGCACAAATAATTAATAGCTCAACGAAGTGGCTTATCATGTGGAAATGTATATCAGCCAAATACTGTAAACGCGCAATGCTGATTCTAAATGTGGAGGGAAAAACCGGAAGATTCGGAGAAAAACTCACGCGATTGTGTCGTTAATGCAGACTGGATGCCTTTTAAAATGTTTCTATTTGGTGTTTAAACATCTAAACACATCCTGCATTTATGGGTTCTGTAGATATGCCTCGGACTGTTGACTGCTTGCTGTTATGGGCCTGTGCTTCGTAACTGTACAAAATAAAAGACCGGCTATTAAAGCTTTTGCTCATCGCAAAGCAGAGTTGCGATGGCGCTGATGACGTGTGTCTGTGTGTCTGTGCGTGTGTCTGTGTGTCGCTGTGTGTGTGTCTGTGTGTGTGTCTCTGTGTGTGTGTCTGTGTGTGTGCGTCTCTGTGTGTGTCTGTGTGTGTGTCTGTATGTCTCTGTGTGTGTCTGTGTGTCTCTATGTGTGTCTGTGTGTGTGTCTGTGCGTGTGTCTGTGCGTGTGTGTGTCTGTGTGTGTCTCTGTGTGTGTGTGTCTGTGTGTGTTGTGGTCAAGGCCTATGATACCATCAGTAGGCCTGGGCTCTGGGTCGTTCTTCGTGCTTTTGGAGTACCTGACCCTCTGCTCACGATCATTAAGGACCTTCATGATGGTGAGCGGGCCCGGGTAAAACTACGTGGCCGGGAGTCAGAGCCATTCCCTGTACACCTTGGGGTGCGACAGGGATGTCCTCTGGCTCCCACATTATTTAACATCTATTTTGACCACGTAGTTCGTGAAGCCTTCAATAGCTGTACCGGGGGAATCTCCATATGGTACAGATATAATGGGAGGCTGATCGATGCCCGGGTGCGGTCAAGGGATGGCTCCCTATTGCTCAACCACGTTATGTATGCCGATGATTTGGTAATAGCTGCTCACTCAGAGGAGGAGTTGGAGACGCTGCTGCTGAGACTGGAGCGTGCCACTAAGAGATGGGGCCTTACCATCAGTCCCACCAAAACTAAGCACCTGCCTGGGTATTTTGTACCATCGGACACTCCACCCCCACAACTCCCAATCGGTGATGGGGCAGTTGTGGAGAGAGTGGAGAGTTTCCCATACCTGGGCAGTGTGCTTATGATTGGCTCCAGTTTAACAGCAGAGGTCTCACTCCGAATCAGTCGAGCAGCAATATCTTTTCATCGGTTGCGTAACGCTGTGTGGAAGCTACCTGGTCTGTCGCTCCGCACTAAGCTTCAGGTCTTCTCGGCCACGGTCATTCCCTCCCTTCTCTACGCTTCCGAAACGTGGACCCCCCTAATGGAACATCTTCGCCGGTTAGAAACATTTAGGCTGGCCTGCCTACGATCCATCCTGGGTTTAACCAGACTGGATTGTGTGAGGAGCTCACAAATCCTTGAAAGATCTGGGCAAGGTCCCATCGGTGAGCTCCTCCGGCGGGCAAGGCTGCGATGGCTGGGTCATGTAGCCCGCATGCCCAGCCACCGCATGCCGAAACAGCTTTTGTTCGACCAGATTGAGGGGGCTAAACGGGCGCGGCACGGGCTAGAGAAGAGATGGAGTGATGTGTACAGGAGGACGTGGAGCTGAGTGGACTTGCCGATGACTGGTACCAGCGGTGTCAAGATCGGCCTCTGTGGAGGAGGCTCGTGAAGGACGCTACTGGGCAGTTGGAGGCAGTCGCCCTCCAACAACAACGGAGGGCGGAGTAGCGACGCTCACAACAGCGAGCGAAGCGCCGGGTGGCTAAAGCACAGCAGATTGGCACAGTAGGGGGCACAGGTGGTGCATCAGCCAGTCATCTCAGTCAGTCGACCCGTGGCACCTGGGTCTGCCCCGTGACCTCCTGCCAGCGGGCGTTCGACACTTCACTTGGTCTCAGGGTGCACATAGCCTGGCACAAGCGCCGTGGTGACGTCACCGCCACTTAGTGGCGAATGGCGGTTGTTGTTGTTGTTGTGTGTGTGTCTGTTTGTGTCTGTGTGTGTATCTCTGTGTGTGTGTCTGTGTGTGTGTCTGTGTGTGTCTGTGTGTCTGTCTCTGTGTGTGTGTGTCCCTGTGTGTGTCTGTGTGGGTGGGGAGCGATAGTGTAGCGGTTAGCGCGCTGCGCTATGAACCCGGCGACACGAGTTCGATTCCCGCTCACGGCCAACACCAGTGACGCTAATCTTAACCGGTCCCGGGCCTCCCCTAGGTCGACTCAGCCTCAAATGAGTACCTGGTGCAGTGTGTAAACATTGCCACTGGGGAGACAAAGGCGGTCGGGCGTGGTGCTGGCCACCTACCCCCTCGTGTACCGTTACCGGCCTTCATAGGTGCTCGCTAACAGCACTTGCCCCTACAGTCTGTTAAGGCTATATGGGGGATCTTTGTCTTTATCTTTGTCTGTGTGTGTCTCTGTGTGTGTCTCTGTGTGTGTCTCTGTGTGTGTCTCTGTGTGTGTCTCTGTGTGTGTCTCTGTGTGTGTCTCTGTGTGTGTCTTTGTGTGTGTCTCTGTGTGTGTCTCTGTGTGTGTGTGTCTCTAGATGAATGCTTCGTGCCACTCAGACTGCTGTTGAAAGCGGCTGGACATCGAAACTGTGGGCAACGGTGGCGAGATGTTCACTAATGGGTCGTGGGACCCATTAGTGGGTTCGATCCCGACCCTGACGTTTGCTGGATATTTGGAGTTTCCATTTATCTCTCTCCCTGCTACGCTTGGATTTCTCTCATGATTTTCCCTCCTCATTTAGAAACACGCGTTTCGAGTATTTGGCTGCTATACATTTCCACGTGATAAGCCACTTCGGTCAGCTGTCTATTTTTCGCCAAGTCGCTTCTGAAAAAGAGCTGTATAGCTCTGTGGGTCTTACCTGGTCAAATAAAAATAGTAAAACAATTCTTCTCAGTTTGGAAATATCAGCAAGCACAAAACCAGATGGAAAAACAATTAACTTAAATGAAATGCAAGTTACTTTTCCATAGAGAAGCAGCGTTCTTAAATTTTGCTGTTGTATTATAATACAATCTGCATTGATAAATTGCAGATCGCGTGCAAACACCACGTCACCACAACGAGGTATTCAAAGTCAAGGTGCGATTAAACGTCAGGCAAATCTGAGGTGGGCGATTACTCAAAGTCCTAAGAGCAAAGTCAATCTGTGCACGGTTTTCGAGATAGTTCATACAAATGCAAAGTGGCAGAAATAAACTTGGGGGTTCATGTCGATTGGTGGAGGGTAAACTTTCAGTCTCAAATTTGCGAATCAGAGACTGCCCAATGTTCATTTTCGTTATTTTTTAGTTCACGGGCTGAGAGTGTTTTACAATGTCCAAACTCGAACGCGAGACGCAGCCAATATTGCAAAGTCTACTAAACCATAAGATGCCGATCTCTTATCCTACCTGCGTCATCGTCGCGTGCTGTGCAGCTAAAGGTGTTGCCTATGACTGAGAGTATTGGTCACATGAAATGGCCACATGTGTCCGACATGACCTACTCAGCGTACCACCACACACTCCAGACGTCGGCCCCTGGGGGTGACCACCAAGCTTCTGAGTGTACGGTACCCGGGCACTTCGCTGCCCCCTTGGAGGTCAAGAAATCTCAGTCGCTGTGTGTATGTTGGGGGAGGTTTCCCAGTAGCAACTCCCAGTTGGAGCTTCCGCTGATCGGTCCACCATGCCAAGTCCTCAATGGGCCCTGAGGCGTCCGTTGTACCACCTGCCGGGGTCCGAGCCCCCCACAGCGGGGTCCGAGCTCCCCACAGCGGGGTCCGAGCCCCACACAGCGGGGTCCGAGCCCCCCACAGCGGGGTCCGAGCCCCACACAGCGGGGCCCACCGCAGCAAGCTGGTATAGAAACATGCGCAGGCAACGGCCCTCAATGGTTGTCGCCACATGTCCGAGCAGAACAACAATTTCCCTTGCCTGGGGCGCTGTGTTGCCGGTGAGAGAACAGGCGGGCCCGACTATCAGGAAGTCGCCATCACCTGCCGGCCCTTCCAGATCACTCCGGTCAATCTCGCTGCAGCGGATTTTGGCTGCTAGTCATCGAGCAAACACGGTGGTCACCGCATCGTGCGGCGCTTTCAGTTGCGCTTCTGCGGCCGTCTGGAACGCTCTTCCTTCCTATATTAGGAAGCCACTGGAGCTATGCACTTTTAAAACATCTTGATTGACAAACGCATTTCTTTAGAACCACTTTTTTGCGTTTCATTTGTTGTCCTTCCCCCGCACCTCCGATTAGCACGGTTGGCTATGTACAATGCAAAAGAAGTTCAACCTACATACAGACATTCCAGATGTCGACCCACCTAGATGGTAAAGACGCTGCGAAATAGGTTAATATACAGGGTGCTTCAAAATAATGTTAACACTTCCAAGAATTTGCAACAATACCGCAAGAAATGTGCCGCATCCGGGCTCTGGAGACCACCTGGAGAACATTCCAGGCCACGTGTTGACAACGATGGCGAACAAGTGGAGACTCTTTGACTTTTTAGAAGCCGTTAACATACATTTGTTATCATGTTACAGTGTATTACTATCCGTTATTTTTTTCATTAACAACGATAGTCCCATACAAGTGTTAGCATTGAAGCACCCTGCAGATGGGAAAGGAAAGGGAGAAATACGCTCTGACACGTGTGCTCCCTTCACTGAACTCTCCTAGCCGATGGTGGCACCCGACACGCTTCAGAGATGCCGGTGAGGGTTTATGTGTCGGGGTGCGTGAGGCCCGCATCCAAACAGCCTGCTCTGCACGCATTCCGTGGCCCTGCGGAATATTTGTTAAATGCAATAAGGAGATTGGTGGATGGCGGAATTGTCATGGGGGAAAACAAATTTCACTTTTACTTTTTGACAGTGATTTTGCAAGGTTACGCTTGATTGGGGTTGAGCTCAAACACCCCAGGCTCAGTGAGGGCAGTTGAATAGCCCATGTCTGATGGACTGATGTGGTAGAGAAGGATGTCGAGCTGAGTGGACTTGCCGATGACTGGTATCAGCAAGTGCCAAGATCGGCCTCTCTGTAAGAGGTTCATGAAAGATGCTGCTGAAGAGTTAGAGGCAGTCCGCCCTCCAGCACCAACGGAGGGCAGAGGAGCGACGCTCACAACAACAAGCGGAGCGCCAGGCGGCTAAAACACAGCAGTAGGGTGGCACAGGTGGTGCATCTGCCAGTCATTTCAGTCAGTCAACCCATGGCACCCGGGTCTGAATGTTAGCACAGTGGGGAACACAGTTGGTGCATCCGCCAGTTTGCATGTTCTCCCCGTGGTCACGTGTGTTTTTATCCAGGTCGTCCAGTCGTTCCCTCCACATTTAGAATCAATCCCACTCACGTGGGGTCCGCTGTCCTTGCCAACCTTCTCCACGCTGCCCTGTCCTGTGCCATCTCTCTTTCCATTCCTCGGACCACCGTGTCCGATCGCACCACATCGCCCCCCCCCACCCACCTCTTCTTCTGCCTTCCTCTTGATCTCTTTCCTTCCACTTGCATCACTAGCACCTTCTGACCCACGTAATGTTCCTGTTATCTCTCCACATGACCGAGCCATACCAATCTTCTCTCTCTCATCTTCTCGGTGATTTCTACCACCTTAAGTCTTCCTCTCACTTCTTTATTTCTCACCCTGTCCTTGTTAAACCCAAAATGCACTGTAACATCCACTGCAACATCCACTGTAACATCCACTGTAACATCCACTGCAACATCCACTGCAATATCCACTGTAACATCCACTGTAACATCCACTGCAATATCCACTACAACATCCACTGCAACATCCACTGTAACATCCACTGCAACATCCACTGCAACATCCACTGTAACATCCACTGCAACATCCACTGCAACATCCACTGCAATATCCACTGTAACATCCACTGTAACATCAACTGCAATATCCACTACAACATCCACTGCAACATCCACTGTAACATCCACTGCAACATCCACTGTAACATCCACTGTAACATCCACTGTAACATCCACTGCAACATCCACTGCAATATCCACTGCAACATCCACTGTAACATCCACTGCAACATCCACTGCAACATCCACTGTAACATCCACTGCAACATCCACTGCAACATCCACTGCAATATCCACTGTAACATCCACTGTAACATCCACTGCAATACCCACTACAACATCCACTGCAACATCCACTGTAACATCCACTGCAACATCCACTGTAACATCCACTGTAACATCCACTGTAACATCCACTGCAACATCCACTGCAATATCCACTGTAACATCCACTGTAACATCCACTGCAATATCCACTACAACATCCACTGCAACATCCACTGTAACATCCACTGCAACATCCACTGCAACATCCACTGTAACATCCACTGCAACATCCACTGCAACATCCACTGTAACATCCACTGGAACATCCACTGCAACATCCACTGCAACATTCACTGCAACATCCACTGCAACATCCACTGTAACATCCACTGGAACATCCACTGCAACATCCACTGCAACATCCACTGCAACATCCACTGCAACATCCACTGCAACATCCACTGCAACATCCACTGTAACATCCACTGTAACATCCACTGTAACATCCTCATCTCTGTGACTGCCATAACTTGGTCTTCCCTCTTTCTTGTACCCCAGCACTCGGCCTCATACAACAGCACGGGCCTCACCACCGTCTTGTACTATACACTACACTATACACTACACTATACACTACACTATACACTACACTATAGACTACACTATACACTACACTATACACTACACTATACACTACACTACACACTACTATACACCACACTTTACACTACACTATACACTACTATACACTACACTATACACTACTATACACTACACTATACACTACACTATACACTACACACTACTATACACCACACTATACACTACACTATACACTACACTATACACTACTATACACTACACTATACACTACACTATACACTACACTACACACTACACTATACACTACACTATACACTACACTACACACTACATTATACACTACACTATACACTACTATACATTACTATACACTACACTATACACTACACTATACACTACTATACACCACACTATACACTACACTATACACTACACTATACACTACACTATACACCACTATACACTACACTATACACTACACTATACACTACACTACACACTACACTATACACTACACTATACACTACACTACACACTACATTATACACTACACTATACACTACTATACATTACAATACACTACACTATACACTACACTATACACTACACTATACACTACTATACACCACACTATACACTACACTATACACTACTATACACTACACTATACACTACACTATACACCACTATACACTACACTATGCACTACACTATACACTACACTATACACTACGCTATACAAAATACACTACACTATACACTACACTATACACTACACTATACACTGCACTATACACTACACTATACACTACACTATACACTACACTATACACTACTATACACTACACTATACACTACACTATACACTACACTATACACTACTATACACTACACTATGCACTACACTATACATTACTATACACTACTATACACTACACTATACATTACTATACGCTACTATACACTACTATACACTACACTACACACTACACTATACACTGCACTATACACTGCACTATACACTGCTACACTATACACTACACTATACACTACACTATACACTACTATACACTACACTATACATTACGATACACTACACTATACACTACACTTTTCCCTTCAACCAAACTGGGACCCTCTTATCGCACACCCCACCAGTCATCTTTTGCCATTTCAGTCATCCAGCACTTGTTCTCATCTCTCCTTCTAGTGATCCATCAGCACCACAACGTTACACCCAGGTACTTAAACTTGTTCGTCTTCATTCACTGGTCACTTACATATTCTTGGTTCTTTATTATTTTATTGTTTCCCTTCAACGTGACTTTACCGAAAGAACAAAGAATATGAATCACTGCAGTCACGAAAGCTTTAAATCAAAATTTGGTCACTTACAATTTGCAATCCTCCTCCTCCTGTATTATTTTCACTGAAATGTGCCACCATATACTCAGTCTTTGTCTGACTGATCCTCAACCCATTCCCATCAATTGTTTGCACCGAGATCTTCAAATCATCTTCCACTACTCCTCCGCTTTCACCACAAAGCACAATGTCGCCTGCAAACAGCATACACCATGGGGCCTCCTTCTGAATATCTCTCGTGTGTCCAGCACCAAGATGAACAGGAAGGGGCTCAGGGCGAACCTTGCGTCACCCCTGCTTTGACTTGAAAGCTCTCCGACACTCCACAGCTGCTTCGCACGTGCATTTTCCCTCCTTCACATATATATCCTGGATCAACTGGACATATACCTGAGGAATACCTCTTCTTCTCATACACCACAAGATGATCTGTCTAGGCACCCTGTCGTTCGCTTTCTCTAGATCAATAAACACCATATGCAAGTCCCGTTTCTTCTCTCTGAACTTCTCTATCAATACTCTAAGTGCAAAGATTGCATCTTCCCTGTCTGAATCCAAACTGACTCTCGCCAATATCCTCCAGCTTCATCAGTCTCCTTTATATAATCCTTTCCCAGAGTTTCATGGCGTGACTCATCAATGCTGTTCCTCTGTAGTTCCCACACTCTTGTACATCACCTTTCCCTTTAAAGATGGGAACCAGTGAACTCTCTCTCCACGCATCCGGCATTTTCTTCTCCATCCTGATTTTCCCAAACAGCTCCATCAATATTCCAACACCCTTTTCTCCCATTAATGTAAACACGTGAATTGCTCCCCAGAGCCTCCACCACCTCTTCTCTGGTCTGCAACTACTTACATTCTTTGATATTCCTCAACCATTTCGCGTCTCGGGTTTTCCACGTTCAGCCACTTCTCAAAGTCCTCTTCCCATCTCTGTCTAACCTTGATCTCATCCAAGATTGTTCGTCCTTCACTGTTCTTAACGGGATTCACATGGTCGATGTCCCTGATCTTTCTCTCTCTAGCTCTTGCCAAACGGTATACCATCTTCTCGCCTTCTTTGCCGTCAAGCTTCTGGTACCACTCCCTTTGCCTCTCATCTCACTACCAGGCATTCATCCAGGTGGTACTTTTCTCTCGTGTTCTGACACTTCTTAAACTTGGCCTTTTTCTCCATTGTTGCCTTTTGCACTTCATCACTCCACCACGACGTTTCCTTCTGTTGCATCTGTCTTCCTGTGCTCACCCCCACTGTGCTACCTGCTGCTTTCAGTATTCCACTCGCCAGCTGTTCTCCACATTTCATTCACGCTCCTCTTAGGCCTTACACTTTTTAAGTTCTCCATAGCTTGCCTGCAGAGGTGTTCTTTCTCGTTGTTTAGTCGCCACCACTTCACCCTACCAGGTTTTTTTTTGTCTCATCTTCCCCTTCCTAACTCCTTTCATGACGCAATCTGCCACAAGTAGTCAATGTTGGCCAGTCGCACAAAACTCTCCAGGGATCACTTTGCAGTTTTTCACTCCTTTCAGGTGCTTCCTCCTCACCAAACTAAAATCTATCTGGCTCTTCACCTCTCCACTCTGGAAGGTCATCAGATGTCCCTCCTGCTTCTGGAAGGAGGTATTCACCACTGCAAGATCACTTGCCTCGACAATTTGATGAATGTCCTCTCCTCACACATTCCTACTGCGATATTTGCATCCTCCATGGTTCCTTTCATATTCGTCCTTACTTCTTTTTACTCTTCCATTTAAGTCTGCGCCCATCACCACTGGTTCATTAACTGGTAAGCTCTGAAACTCCTGGTCTAAGCTCTCCCATAATTCATCCTCTTGCCTACTGCAGCCCTTCTGCAGGGCATACGCACACACCACATTTACAACCCCATTGACCAGTACTAGTCTATGATCAGTCTGTCATTCACTCTTCTGACTTCCACCACCTTTGTCTTAATCTCCTCACTCAGCACAACTCCAACCCCATTTCGCATTGCTATGGTTCCATGGTATAACAATTCAAAACCACGGCCAATCTCTTTCGCTCTGCTGCCTTTCCATTTTGTTTCTTGGATGCATGCGATGTCGACTTTTCACCTTCTCAAGCAGTCCACTAATTCCTGACCTTTTCCTGTCATTGTTCCAATATTCCATGTGGCCAACCTTATCTTCCTCTCGAACAACCTGCTCTTTACATTTTGTTCCTTCATCTTGATATGTGCAGGCAACGTTACTACCACCGCCGGGGTCTGCACTCCCTGAAGCGGCAGAGTCGTTGGATCCCCATATTCTTTGCACGCTCTGCCCACTTAAGGGCCGCGGGGGACTGAGGGACATTTGTTTGCAAGGACTTTCCATGTTTTGGTTTTAGGGTTTTACGGTTGGTTGCCACCAGGCGCCAACCCTCCTCCTTTTATCCTGGCTTGGGACAGGCAGAAAAAAATGTTCTGGCGGAGTAAGAATCATTTAGAATCAACGTGCGTTCAGAGTATATGGCTGCTATAAATGTCCACATGATAAGCCACTTCGTTGAGCTATCATTTGTGGCCAGGCCGCTTCTGAGAAAAGAGCTACATAGCTCAGTGGGCTTTACCTGGTAAAAAAATAGTGTCATTAAATAGTTTAGCTGATCTCATTGACACCTGGGTCTGTTCCGTAACCTCCTGCCACCAGCGGGGCCTTCGACACTTCACATGGCCTCAAAATGCACCTAGCATGGCACTTCGTGGTGTACGGCGGCGGCTGCTGGCTGCTGCTGTTGTTGTTGTTGACATCACGGTGTTCACTGGTGCCACCTCGGCTGTCCAAGGGGCTCGTCGGTGCCGCCCTTGGCTGATTGCTGTCCCCTCGGACTGATTGGCTCCAGGGCAGGGCCGTGCCTTTGCCCTCTCCGCCTATCCGCGTGTCCGCACGGGAGGGGATGGGGACGCTCCGTGTCCTCGTTTGCCCCTCTTCACTCCCACCCCACCCCCCTTGTTGCCCCGACTTTTTTTGAAAAGTGTCTTGAGATGGAAGTTGCGTTCAGATGATGTGCGCGATTTGAAATGGTGGCATTCGTTGGGAAATGAACGAACGTCGAGTTTATGTGAATGAAACTTGCCATAGTGTGCGTTGTGGATGCAATTGCCCTCATTAATGGATGCGAACTAAAATTGTGTCGTGGCAATCGTGGATTTAACGGCTCAAAGAGCATGTTTGTGCCATTACACGTGTCGCCGGGTTGTTTAAAAACGTCAAAATGTTCTCTTAATTGTCGAACGTGTGCTCTGTGATTAAAAAAAAATTCTGATCGAATGTGATGAACGCTGACCAGCAGTGATCACTCTCATGTGGAATGGCGTGGGGGACTGCGGCGGTGAGGGGTGAATGTTCAAGGGCATGATTTAGGGTGGAGGTGTTTCTCACAACAAGGGTGTTGTCCCGTCGGCATTCAGGTGTAAACACAAGGCGATAACATTATCTTTATGACTGTATATAAAAGCGAAGATAAGATAACACTCAAAAGATGCAAACGGGTGTTTAAAAAAAAACTGCGTATCTTTACGCCACCAAAACATTGACCTCTACGTATGCGCTATTTTCCAAAATAAACAACGAAT